GCGCTCGAGCCGCTCGGCCTGCAGGCGGTCACCGGCACCGGCGCGGGCGTCGGCTTCGCGGGCTGGAGCCTGGGCGGCGGGTACGGCCCGCTGGACGCGCGCTACGGCATCGGCGCGCACCAGATCGTCGGCGCCAAGGTGGTCAACGGCGAGGGACGGCTGGTCGAGGCGGACGAGCGGCTGCTGAGGGCGGTGCGCGGCGGCGCGGGGTTCTTCGGCATCGTGGTCCAGCTGACCGTCAAGGTCTACCCTCTTGATGGGGTACGCACCCGTTAGACTTGGGGCCGAAGAGATATGCAATCGCTAACATTTCGAGGCAAACAGATCCAATCGGGAGTCTTCCTGTTCGAGTCCTCCGACATCGAAAAGACCGTCACCACCGTGCTGACCGGCTATAACAAACTCGCCGAGGACCACGCCCCCCTCCCGCGCAATCTGTGCGTTCTGCCCGTCATCACGCCCTTCCCCAACGCCGGCGTCGTCCTCGCCCTGTCGTTCATCTGGAGCGGCCCGGCTTCGGAGGACTCCCGCGCGTGGGCCGACAAGATCGGCGCCCTGGCCCCGCGGCTGCCCGGTCCCCCGCTGCAGCCGACCACCATGCTCGCCGTTCTGCGCAACCTGGCGCGGCTGATCCGGCCGCGCGTCCGCGGCACCACCCACAGCGCCTCCCTCACGCACCTCTCGCCGCAGGCCGTGCGGGCGCTGGCCGCGCAGGCGGCGCGCATCCCTGCCGCGGGCAACGGCGGCTTCTCGCTGCACATTGTGCGCGCCGACAGCCCGTCGTGCGCCGGCGGCGTTGTTCCGGAGTCGGTGACGCCGTACGGGATGCCGCACGTGTCGGTGGATGTGCTGGGCATCGTGGACATTGAGGGCTCGGAGGAGGTGGAGCGGGCGATGGTCGGATGGGCTCAGGAGGCGAGGGACGAGCTGGTCGGGGTGGACGCGGCGGCGAGGTTCACGTATCTGCCATTTACGCATCCGAAGCATCTGAGCCTCGAGGGGATCTACGGAGACAACTTGGAGTTTATGCGCCAGATCAAGAAGGAGCAAGACCCGAACAACGTCTTTAAACATGGCCTTGTCCGTTTATAAGTGGCCACATTGTATACTCTTCCCGAAGAGTTAAGAACGGACAGTTTGGTCATCTCTCAAAACTTAGCACCATGATAAAATCTGCGCTAATATACAAATATCCAATTGATGTTTTTGATGCTCATCGGATACTTATGTAGCATCGCCCGGTATCTTGGCTTCTCCATTCGTCCCCCATCCTCAACTCTACGCAGCGATACCACCCTCTGGTACCAGCGGCGCTCTTCCGCTGCTGTCATGGTTGCTTATTTAGATTGCAATATAATCGACTTGGCAGGACGGGTCGATATTATCTACATACAATAGACCAGTCCAGACCATGCCCGGCCCTTGAAATACAGACCTCTCTGCATTGGTAACACTCTATTTTTACCCCGCCGATGAATGGCTTGCATTAGCGCTCTGTACAAAGACCCTTTGGAACTCCGCTGTCGGACTCATGGTATGATTGCATGTACGGATGGTTTAATTATCATATATTGCAAATGTCGTAAGATACTAAAGCGGACACAACAGTCATGAGCAGCTGCCGGCAGGCTCACTCACCCACGCCGCTACAGTACTATCCGGACAATCCGTCAATTCAGTTCATCCGTTCTTCTTTATTTTGTAGCCTGGAAAACATAACACGCGACACCCTCATACGTGTACCCCAGATTGCGCACCGCGTTGTCCACCTCCGGGCCGCTGGTGGTGTAGAAATGGTCCCGCTGGCCGGGGCTGTAGGCGCGGTAGAACTCGACGAGGCGCGCCGGGAGGCCGCCAACCTTGTCCGTGGCGAATACGTAGCCGGTGATGCCCTCGTCCACGTACCCGAGATGCTGGACCGCGTTGTCGCGCTCCGGCGCCGAGGTGGTGTAGAAGTGGTCGCTGGCGCCGGGGGACCAGGTCCGGTACAGGGGAATGCTGTTGGGCACCTGGTACGAGTAGATCTTGGCGGCAACACCTTCAGCTGAGTAGCCGAGGCGGGTGACGGCATTGTTGTACTCGGAGTAGTCGGTGGTGTAGAAGTGGTCGCCGGCGCTGCCGCTGTATGCGCGCCACAGCTCGACGATGGCCTTTGTCTGGACCTCCTGGATAGATGGTCAGCATATGGAATCATATTATGACTGAGCATAACGTATATGGGAAATAGCATCATGCATACCGCGGTGGTTGGAATAGCCGAGACAGCGGTACAGAGGGTTGCAAGGACTGTGAGGAAACGCATTGTGGGCTGTGTGTCTTCTTGTTCTTTGCTTTATTTTTTTAGACACGATTATCAATGTTGTAGTAGCAGCTATTTCAGAGATCAAAGAGATAACCGTGAGCATTTATACTTTCAAGGCTTACTTTCAACAACTACTTGCTCTTCCTCTCATACTACGTTACACAACAGCTGTCTATCTGTTCAGCAGGAGGAGTCTGTCAGCGAAAGCGCCTTTCCGATGCCTAATGCCCAGAGTTGCCGTCCCATTTCGACTTGGAATTGGAAATAGTGCATCCAGCTGAAGATAGCTGAACATGTAGACCCTGTTCCAGAATTCTTGGGTAGCAGTGGCCGTAAGCGGCATGCAGATGCAATGCCGGCCGGACCTCAGCTTGAAGCAGCGTCAGTCATAATTGCCTCACGGGGCGGAGTATGCGGAACAAATCTTGTCTGTTCTTTACAAGATGCAGTTTTTCCCGAGAGACTTGCAGCACAACAAAATGCCGCCATTCAAGGCATCCACCACGTGCAGCAAAACGATGCGTGTGGGAGGAGTCGATGAACAATATCAACGGTATTATGAGTCATTATCTCGAGTCACATCTTAATTTAAATCTAATTTGAATTATCGGAAGCTTTTCCAATTGTAGAAATGCAGAAGAATGTGCCATTTGATATTTTTCAATGTGGTCGGTTCGTATGCGATGGTATCCCCAGCTTGGCATGGGAACAGTCGCACGGTCGCTCCTATACTTACACTATCGCCCATATAAGTAACACAACGAACTCCTCCTCTAGTCTCAGAACAACCGTCTTATGTCACTCCTTCATCTCCTAACAATTGCCTTCTTACCCCCTATCAAAAGCTTCGAGCATCCGAGCCCTCGGGTGCGGCTTAGGGTAGGAGAACTCGAGATGCACGACAGCGCCGTAAGTTCCCACTGATAGTATGGTTAAATAATTGAGATTCAACTGCTCAGGCGTCATGGCGTATTTTCGTAAGCTCGACATGTACAAGTAAGGTAAATAGGCGCGCGGGGATGATTCGAGCCGTTCCAGTTTGTTCCTCAACATTGACAAGGGACGCTGGGTAACGTCCGTCTTCGGTCGCTTGGACAGAACCAATGACTGCAAAATGCAGTTTAAACAGTATAGTCACTGTAAATTTACTTCGCAAAGTATGTTGTACATTCTCCTTTTTTGAAAAGAATACATCATCTTCTCAGGCCATTGGAAACGCCGTTGCTTGGTTATCGAAGAACCCATGGTAAGTTGCTTTGACGCGACGCCCATCTAGTTCTATATCCTAGAACTGCCACGTTGTGTTTTAATCCGAGGCTCATATTCCTTTTTCAGATTATCAAGAACCAAGTAGAATTCTCATCCCCTTTTCACGTTCACTTACAATATTCTGGCGAGGCTCTACCGCGGGGTAGTGGTAGCTATGTACATACGGTGCACCATTAATACCCACTTTTATAAAGTTACTTTTTACTACTCAAATCGCTAAATTATTAATCTATAAGAATTCACTATATTTATTATACTTTATTAGTTAATATATTAAAATAATAATAATTATTATTAATTAATTCCTTTAAATACTCTTTATTATATAATAGTTTTTTTAGTCTTATATACTATATTTAGTAGTTATTAAAAGTACTAGTTTATAATAATCTAGTTTATTTAACCTACTATAATTAAATATATAAGAGTTCTTAATACTTAAGTTTATAAATATACTATATAGTTATAGTGAATTCTTATAGATTAACTATTAATAATTTAGTAATTTAAATAATAAAGTGTAACTTTATAACAGTGGGTATTAAGAGTGCACCGTAGCTGCACATGGTATCTGTTTTGCCTCGGCCGGATCCACCCAGATCTGCAGCTGCCTTCGATATTCAAGCAGGCATACAACACTGTGACGTCGCCAATAATATCCAATCCTCTAGTTTGCTATAGTAGTTACATCACTATGTTACATTGTATTCCTTCGTGAGGAGTATAAGCAGGTGCTTCTCGCTGCCTTGGTGAAGCGAGATTCTAGACGAGATCAACATTTTCCTGCTCACGAGAAACGTACCTGTCAATTCAAGAAGACATCTGCAGAATGGCAATTGTAGAAGCCCTCCTTCCCGTCCTGCGAGGGTGGTCGTGGACCAGCGCCCTCTTCTCGATACTGGGTTTTGCCCTCGTCGTGTCGCTCGGCACAAGGCTTCGCCAGTATTGGCGCCTCCGACATTTCAAGGGGCCATTTCTCGCCGGATTCTCACGCCTCTGGCTCGTGCGGTCAACGTGGAGCGGCAGGGCATATCTTGACTTTTGGGATGTGACCTGTAAATACGGTAGGTAGCTGAGACACTTGGCCCCCCTCGCGGTCTTGATTCGCCATACACTTACTTGTATGGACTTCTAATTCGATCGTTAAAAAAGGCTCTATTGCTCGTGTCGGCCCAAATGATCTCATCACCGACGACCCCGAGCTCGTGAAGTATATGTACAACATCCGCTCCAAGTTCAGGCGCTCCAGTTGGTACGATGGCATGAGGTTCGACCCTACCAGGCATAATCTCCTGTCCTTGAGGGACGAGGGGGCGCACAGGAATCTTCGAGCGAAAATGGCTGCTGGGGTAGGTCTATGCCTTCCTCCTTGAATGATCACTCTGTGTGTGCCTTGGGTGAGTTGCAAGATCACTCCTCGCTTACCTGTTACTAGTATTCGGGTCGCGAAGTTGACGGACTGGAGCACAAGATTGATGAAAACATTGATCGCTTCATGGCTCTGCTCACCAAGTACGCCAGCAGCGATAAAGCCCTGGATCTGGGCCACAAGGTCCAGTATTTCACCATGGATGTCATTTCGGACCTTGCTTTTGGCAAGCCCTTTGGCTTCCTCGAGACGGACTCGGACGTGTACAGATACATTGAAACCACTGAACGCGCCTTTTCCGTTGTCATGATTGCCGCCACCGTTCCGGTACTCGTCCGTGTGCTAGCTTCGCCGCTTCTGAGTGTCGTGCCGTCTGAAGCGGACAAAATCGGGTTTGGTCCGGTAATCCGGTAAGCATCACAAGATGCGCCCTAAGTTGTTCTCCGCTGACATTCGTTTTCCCGGTAGCCTCGCCAAGAAGGTGGCAGCACAACGCTTCGGCGAAAAATGCAAAGTCCAAAAGGACATGCTGGGCTCTTTTGTCGCTCACGGCATCAACCAATCCGAGGCCGAGTCTGAGATTCTACTTCAACTGTAAAGACCAGCTTCTTCAATAACTCACTGTTCGATCTTTTGGTCTAACACGCCAAACAGTATTGCCGGTTCTGACACCACCGCGACCGCCATCCGATCGACGCTGCTCCACGTCATCACCAACCCCCCGATTCTCGCGCGACTGCACCGAGAGATTGAGGAGCGTCATCCTCTAGATTCGATCATCTCTGATGAGACCGCACGGTCGATGCCATATCTACAGGCGGTGGTCAAGGAGGGCCTGCGCATCTTCCCCCCGGTCGCCGGGGTCATGTCCAAGGAGGTCCCTGCCGGCGGCCACCACTGGAAAGGGACCTTCATCCCGGGAGGCACCGTCATAGGATCGTGTGCCTGGGGAATATTCCGACGACAGGATATCTGGGGCGCCGACGCGAGCGAGTTCCGCCCAGAGCGCTGGCTCGACAGCACCGGGGAAGCACTCCGTCGGATGGAGGGAACCCTGGAGCTCATCTTCAGTCACGGCCGGTGGCAGTGTCTGGGTCGCCCGATTGCGTTGATAGAACTGAACAAAGTTTTCGTACAGGTAAGATGCAGATGCAGATGCGTCATGAATTTCTGACTGCGTTGTTCGTTGGCCTTTTGTTGCTGATCTCATGAGACAGATTCTCGGGCAATTCGACATCTCCATCTGCGACCCCACGAAGCCTTGGAAGGTACACAATAGCGGCATCTTTTTTCAGAGCGAGTTTTATGTGAGGCTTAGAGCCAGACAATAATTTTGCGCGAGTCAGGGTCAGATGGAATTGCTGTTGAGGAAGGGCTGCTTGTTTTTGTTTGTGAACAGGGCACCTGTCACGATCGACTTGCATAGGGGTACCCTAATTCGCAGCTTGAATCGCTCAACCTTGAGATCGCGCCAGCCTGATAATATCTTGTAAATTCAGCTACAGTCGTTAGGAATGAAAAAAACCTCATCTGAATTGAGAACGCAAAGAAGTCAGAATTGCTCGCTCGAGAAGTACTAAAGAACCTCGCGGATGGACGCAGCACATGGAGTGAGATGACTGGTCCAAGCCACTATTCGTGAGTGAGGCAAAAATTACTTCCATAGTTCAAGCACAGCAAACGTGTGACAAGAAGCATGTCAAAGTAAACAGTGCGCGTCAAACGGCTCGGTTGTTGCGCTTACCCGTGAACCTCCACTTAAATTGGTCAGCAGTGGAATTCTGAAGCTTCTCGCCACTTTTGACCAAACAGAGCTTCACAACATTCACTGCCTCTCTTTTTTTCATTTTCGTTTCCCCCATCCCACACACAACACCCCAAAAGATGGAGAGCAAGATCAAAGAGCTCCGGGGCATCCTCAAGGGCTCCTCCGCCGCGCAGCGCGCCGCCGACCAACGCGAGGTCGCCCTGCAGCACGCGCGCGTCATCCAGCACCGCAAGGACCTCGAGGCCGAGATCCTCGACAGCCTCGTCCTCCTATCCGAGTACCCTCTCGAACGCCCCGCGCACCCCGGCCCCGACGCCGCCGCGCGCCCGTCGCCCTCCGACGTTGCCGGCTTCAAGACGCACGTGCGGCTCTTCCAGCCGTCCGACTACGACGACCTCGTCGCCGAGCGGCACGTCAACGGGCTGTGCGGGTATGCGCTGTGCCCGCGGCCGCACCGCGACGCGGGAGCCGGCGGCGCGTGGCGCATCACCGCCGCAGGCCGCATCGTGCGCCGCGAGGACCTGGAGCGCTGGTGCTCGCAGGCGTGCGCCCGGCGTGCGATGTACGTCAAGGTCCAGCTGTCCGAGGCGGCCGCGTGGGAGCGCGCGGGGTGTCCGGATATTCATATCGATTTGCTGGACGAGGCACGCCTGGAGGGCGAGTTGGAGGGCGCGACGCGGCAGCTGGCGGACATGCAGATCGAGGAGCAGGCGCGGCAGGGCAGGGAGGCGGAGGCGGCGCTGGCGCTAGAGAGGGGGAGTGCGAGGCCCAAGGTCCAGGTGGCGCTCAAGGAGAAGGAGACGCAGATGCCGGATATCAGGAATCTGCAGATTGCCGACGGTGACGGCGACGACCATTTACTTGTCGAAGGTTACAGGGTGGGACTGGGGGAGTCTGCACACCGATAATGGCGGCTCCAGGGCATGAACTGCCCAGATATTTACTGCATGTGGACGGGCCAAATGCCCAAACGGCGGATTGTATACTTAGCGCATGGTTTACTTTTTTACGATTTGAGATGAATGATACCCATTGCAAAAAGACATGTCCCTGTGAAGACGCTTGTCGACACGGCTTCACATAGCAATACGTCGAGGGAGCTCGACGATGTTGAACAAATGTCCTTCGTTTGTGCAATTCGTGTCAATTCGTCTTTTGGGAAAACCCCAGACATGAAGCTGTTCAGCTTCTCTTCTCACAGGCACGCACAACGGCACGAGGAGCATCCCAACAAGAGGAGACATGGCGATCAAGCCTTTCAACGAGGGACCAAGCCTTCCTCGAAAAAAGAGGAAGAGCCCGGCCCTCGCCGTCCAGCGACACCTAATGGGGGCGAAAAGATCTTTTCTTTGAGAGATCTAAGCACTTTCGCTAACCGATCCCAGACGCCAAGTCGTCATAACATCCGCGGCACTAAAATGGCCATGCAAAAAACCCAAAAATTGTAATGTGTGTATCAAAGTGTTCCCTCGTTCGTGAATCCTGCTTTTGAATGGTTCTTTTCCCAACGACAAATGAAACGATGCGCTTAGTCGCGGCGACGGTTGCCGAAGCGGCGCTCGGGGCCCTGGGACTGAGCGACGGCGACGACGTTGACAGGAATCGAGTCGAACTAGACAAAGCACTCCAGTTAGAATCCTTCCCCACCAAAAATCTAACAGGTTGTGAACTTACGCCGAGGTGCTTGAGCAGGTCCTTGGTCTCGCCGTCGACCTGGAGGAGGCCGCCCTCGTTGTGCGAGGGGTCGAGAGCCGAGACCTCGGGGACGTACTGGTCCTTGCGCTCGCGCTCCTCCTCCTGCAGCTTGAAGGAGATGCCGCGGACGGGGCCGCGCTGGATGCGCTTCATCAGATGCGTGGTGTAGCCGGCAATCTTGTTGCGGAGGCGCTTGGAGGCGATGATGGCGATCTCATCGCAGATGCGCTTGTTGGTCTCGAAGTCGAGGGTCAGGCGCGGGTAGTAGCGCTCGATGATGACCTTGGCGGACTTCTTGACGGTTTTGGTGCGGACGCGACCCATTTTGGCGGTGTTGTGGTAGTTGTTGGGGAGTTTGTCGGTGAGTTTGTCGTGGGTTGGCGAAAGTCGTTTCTCCAAGTCAGCTCTCAGGAAATTTCGACTCTCCGCAAAATTGGTGGTGCTCTGGCTTCGGTGGGGCGCTAGCTGCAATTAGGGCTCCCGGTTAGGGTCACCTGCTAAATCACGTGTGCTTGTGGAATGCAAGAGACGAAGACGTGGGGCCTGTGAAGGCGATCTGATTGGCCAATGTATTAATAGCAGTGGCATCGTCAAGTTGAACACCAGCAACTGGTCAGGCAGATTGATGTTCAAAGTAGGTAGCTATTCTGGCTGATGTTAGGATGACATTATCTATCAGCCCATCTCTCCAAAATACAAAAACAATACAATCCCCCATTGTAGAGTCATTTTACAGAATGAATTTAAACCCTGATTCTTTTTTATGCTACTGATACATGTTTATATGAGATTGCGCCAGCCCCCATAGATATACAATTATCCTCTATTAGTCTCAGTTTAAGCGCTGATTCTGCAGAATCTCATCCGCCACCTTCCGCAGTCTTTGCGATGCAGGATCGGCGCCGGCCTCCTGCGGACGCAGCTCGCGCTTCATCGGCCGGTCGTGGTACACGGTGCTCTTGCCACAGCTCTCCTTGGCGATGACCTGCGCTTCAGCGCCCGCCTCCTTCAGCTCCAGTATCACGCGGCCGCTTGGGTCCACGCTGGCCGTCACGGGCTCGATGTACGTCTTGGCGCCGCCAAACGTGGTCGTGTCCAGGTTGGCGATGCCGTTTGACACGAGGCGCGAGCCGGCCTTGCCGCGGGGCACGCGGGTGTTGAACTCGTTGTCGCCGGGCGGTGGGTCGGCCACGAAGCCGGCGACGCCGAGCCTGGGCGGCGCGTTGATGGACCGCGGGCTGATGAGGCGGGCCAGCGTGGGTGCACGGCGCGCCTGCGGCCCGTACACCGGGTGGTTCTCCATGACGGAGAACGTCCGCAGGTAGCTGATGCCTGCGGACGGGTGCGTCGTGGGTGGTCCCGCCTTGCCCCAGGGGCTCTCGGCGAGCGGCGGGAAGAGGCTCTGCACGACGCCGACGGGCTGGCCGAGCGGCGCGAGGTCGAGGAACTTGGAGACGATGGCGTACAGGACGGCGCGATCGTTGCGCAGCGCGCGCAGGTACTCGGTGAACTGCGCCTCGGTGATGTCGGGGGCGCTGACGGGCGGGGGCGCGTCGACGCCCTTCTCCATGGCGTAGCTGTTCTGGCGCGCGGTGATGTCCTCGGCCAGGCCCTTGCGCAGCAGCGCGCGGAACTGGGCGCGCTGCGGGCGGACCTGCCGGTCGAGGTAGCGCAGGAACTCGCCCTCGGTCATGCGGGCCAGCCAGGGCCCGTCGTACTTCCAGCGGAGGTGCTGGTCGGCGCGGCCGTCGCCGTTGGTGACGTCGAAGCGCTCCTCGAAGACGGACCTGTGGCCGGGCGTCTCGCGCAGGGTGGTGCTGCCGGCCTCGTGGCGGCGCTTGGGGATCGACATGGCGACGCGGAGCTCCTGGAACTTCTCGAGCGAGAGCGTGTGGTCGGCGGCGGACTCGAAGTCGGTCACGTTCTCCATGGCGTCAATGTTCTTGAGGCGGATGAGCGGCGTCGAGGTGTTGAGCGTCGTCTTGAGAGGAAAGGACCGCTTGAAGCCCCAGTCGCCGTGCTGCCGCGAGGACAGCGGCGTGGTGACGGACTGCATCCGCGGCTGCGCCCTCGTCATCGACTTGGAGCTGCGGTCGGCCATGTGCTGGAGGCCAGCGTGCGGCTCAGGCAGGGGCTTGGGCATGGAGAACATGCGCGACGAGCGAAGCAGCGCCCCGCCGGGCGATACAGCGTGGCCGCCCATGATGGCAATTTAGAATTGATCCGTGGCCCTCGCTTGTAGGCGGTGGTGGGCAATTCGGTTCGAGACAATTGATCGCGATGCTTTCGAAGGAGTGGTTGATGGTGTTGCGCATCCAAGGAAAATTGCTGGAGCTTAGAAGCTGGGGCCAAATTGCCGTGGTTTGGCCGGCGTACAGGGGCCTGCCAGTGTATTTTAGTGGCGTCAGCAAGATTTACAGCGCTAAAGAGTTGCCAAACTCCACTAGCCATTTTTCCCCTGCCAAAAATGTTCCAACGAGGCTTCATTGGCAGCTCAAAGGAGGGTCTGTCACTGAGCAAAAAGCTTTCTGACTTGCATGAGGCTCTCCAAATAGTTGCAAGAACATCTGACAAAGGGGATGTTGGCAGCCCGCAAGATGGCTTCCAACGTATACACTTCGCCAGCACTCAAATTTGAGCTGCTCGGGCGTTGTTCTGTGAGTGTCGCTCACGCACGTGTCATCCAGCAAACGAGTGCCAACTAACAGGCTGTGATAGACAACCAGAGCCAGGGCATCGATCCTAACTTTGCCTCATGGGCCTGTCAAGCTTCCTATATTTATGCCTGTTGCTACCCAAGCCTCACTCAAGGGCATCACTCCAGAGCAGTTAGAGGAAACAAGCTGCAGGCTCTGCCTCAATAATACATACCATCTCGGCCTGAAGCCAGGACAGGAGGTGTTGGATGCTATTGGTGGCGCGCATAAACTCCAGGGCTGGAAACATAATATTCTTACAGATAGTGGCGGGTTAGTATCTTGATGCCGACTTTCGAGTGCTCCGGTCACTCACTAACACTGGGCAGATTCCAAATGGTCAGTCTGCTGAAGCTGGCGACCATTACAGAAGAGGGCGTCCGGTTCCTGAGCCCGCACGATGGCTCGCCCATGCTGCTCACGCCCGAGCACTCCATGTCACTACAAAACTCGATTGGCAGTGATATCATGATGCAGTTAGACGACGTCATCGTCACGACGTCACCAGACAAGGAGCGCATGCGCGAGGCCATGCTCCGGAGCGTGCGCTGGCTCGACCGGTGCATCGAGGCGCACAAGAACCCCGAGACGCAGAACCTCTTCTGCATCATCCAGGGCGGGCTGGACCTGGAGATGCGTCGGGAGTGCTGCCGGGAGATGGTCGCGCGCGACACGCCAGGCATCGCCATCGGGGGGCTCAGCGGCGGCGAGGCCAAAACCGACTTTTGCCGGGTGGTGGGCGCGTGCACGACGCTTCTGCCGGAGCTGAAGCCGCGGTACGTCATGGGCATCGGGTACCCGGAGGACCTGGTGGTCAGCGTGGCGCTGGGCGCGGACATGTTCGACTGCGTGTGGCCGACGCGGACAGCGCGCTTCGGCAACGCCGTCACGCGGCATGGCGTGCTCAACCTCCGCAACGCCAAGTTCGGGCGCGACTTTGGGCCGATCGAGGAGGGCTGCGGGTGCGCGTGCTGCCGCGAGGGCGGGCTGGGCATCACCAAGGCGTACATTTACCACAACACGTCCAAGGAGACGGTGGCGGCGCACCTGTTGACGATCCACAACGTGTGGTACCAGCTCAACCTGATGCGCGAGGTGCGCGACGCGATCCTGGAGGACCGGTTCCCGGCCTACATACGGGAGTTCTTTGGCGGGCTGTATGCGGACAAGAGCGACTATCCGGAGTGGGCGGTGGAGAGCTTAAAGACTGTCAACGTAGACTTGCTGGCAGATTAGAGGCAGGTTAGAGGATAAATGCATTGTGAAAGGCAGGCAGGCATATACAGGCGTTGGTAGACAAAAGCGTTTTGTGAAGATGAAGTACCCGGTAGTAGACTTGGATTATGTGATTGGCGGCCACGGTGTCTCCCTTGGATTGTATTGTTGTAAAATGTAACTAAAAAAGTAACTACAAAAATGACCTGTGACTGGGGGTATATCTATAATAGAGAAATGGAGAGATATGTATTGCTGCTGTTAAAACATATTTAGCCAATGCTGGTATTGTAGTTTTGGTTTGAAGCCTGAGTTTGAGTCCAGGTCCTGGCCAAGTTTCCTATCTTCCCTGTGCAACAGCTAACGACACGTTTCAACATTAGAAGAAGAATAATTTTTTAAAAAAAAAAAAAAAGAATCGAGCATAGAATTCTGTTAGCATAAATTCACGCAAGAAAAAGAGCGGTGTAAATTGCCAGCCTCTAGAATACAATGTTCTATTCAGTTATGACGTCGCGCACCAAACGATGTCACGTCTGTAGTAACCTTAAAAGCACCTGGCTCACAACAGAGAGCAACCAATAACTAAAAAATTAAGAAAAATTAAATCCGGCGGAGCAAACAACTGGCACCAATCGATCTGCGGCTACCTGCTGCTAGTTCCGGGCCAACGTGATCGTTGTTGAAAGAAACGCGCATTTGGTGCGGTTGTGACACGCCATGGCAGGCTTCTGGAATAACAGTGGTCCACAAAATACATATGTAGCTGTGGTTACGGGCCAACACGTTTTGGTAGGTGTGGTGTGATTCTTTCGACAGCATTTTCACGAATGATAGTTCTCTAGAATTTATTCCGGCACGATTGGTAAAAGAGTATCGGTTTTTGTTTCGTCCGAGGCCAGGGAAGTTGTCTTTCAGACGTGGGTGAAACGAATGACATGATGAATGGTCGGGGCAACCCGACTAAGAGATGACTATTTTTGTAAATAAAAAAAGAAAAGGAGAAAGAAGGACCAACCAGTCCGATTCAAGCCGGTGAAATACCGTTTTTAAGTAGCCACGGCCAACCACGTCACTACCGTTGTTGCACACGGCAGGCTGGACAAGGCCAGACAGCCCACTAACACAAACATCTCCCCGGCCCAGGGGTGACCACCTTTACTTGTGCATAACAACAAACCGTTTGAACCCCGCCACGAACCATTTTGCACGCCAACAGATCGCTCCTTTATAGTTCGAATTCTTATAATCGCTTCGTCTGCTGCTTCTACTACCATTTACAACCACAGACTGCCCCCAGGGCCCATGCTCGTTTACACAGCACCATGGCGCCCACCACCTCAGCCTCCTCCCTGCCGTCGCGCCGACTGTCCGCCCACACCATCGCCGCTACCGCGCCAATAAAGGACGACGATCATGCTCTCTCGCAGTCCCTCAGTCAGCTGTCACTGCTGTCCTCGGGCGACCAAAAGAACGGGTCGCGCCGCCTGTCCGAGGCGCTGCAGCGGCCGTCGTCGTCGCGACGCACGTCTGTCTCGCCCGGCCACCGCATGCCCTCACGAAGCCCGTCCGGGCGCGACTCGCGACCGACCACGCCGCCTCTACTGCGCAAGGCCTCCATGAACTCGCTACACTCCGCCAACGGCCACGGACCCGGCCGCGTGCCCTCGCGTCGCTCCAGCATGACGCAGGCCATGGGGTCGCCCAAGGTCACCCGGTCGCCGTCCGTCGGTAGCCTCAAGGCCGAGGAGCACAGGCCGCCGCTGACAGCCGCGTCCGTCGCCGCAGATTACTTTCGCTCCGAGATGCAGATACACCACGGCCCGGACGCGACGCTGCCCTCCGAGACCGTTGTCATCCTGCACGACGCCGTCTACGGCCACCGCTTCTCCCGACCGAGAACCTCGCGCAATGCGCTGAGCACCATTGTCGAACGACCCGAGCGAGTCAAGGCCGCCGTCCTGGGCGTCTCGCTAGCATACGTACGGCTTGGCGACCGACACGACGAGGGAGCACACCCGGTCCATCCCAGGGCCAAGATTCACGAAATCCCCAAGATCCCGTTTCGCATTCGGAAATCGACGCGAAGCGTGCCCTTGACGTCGGCGGCAGTTACCAACATCCACGGCTTGAAATGGATGGAGGAACTCAAGATCATGTGCGACACGGCCGAGTCCAAGCTGGCATTGGGTGGTAGGGAACTCCAGAGACCCGAGAACACGGACCGAGACGAGCCCGCGCAGCCGCTGCACGAAGGAGACCTATACCTATGCGCCGAGTCACGAGACGCCATGGAAGGCGCTCTCGGTGCCGTCTGCGACGGTGTAGATGCCGTCTTCAACCCGGCCCCTGCTGCCCCGCGACGCGCGTTTGTGGCAGTCCGACCACCTGGCCATCATTGCGCCGCGGCGCACCCCTCGGGCTTCTGCTGGGTGAACAACGTGCTGGTGGGCATCATGCACGGTGCCCTCACGCACGGGCTGACGCACGCCGCCATCATCGACTTTGACCTGCACCACGGCGACGGATCGCAGGCCATTGTCTGGCAGCACAACGCGCGCGCTAACGCCGCCACCAAGAATTTTGCGCCGTGGAAGAAGACCTCAATCGGCTACTTTAGCCTGCACGACATCAACTCGTACCCCTGCGAGATGGGCGACGAGGACAAGGTCAAGAACGCGTCCCTCTGCATCGACAACGCCCACGGACAGAGCGTCTGGAACGTCCACCTGCAGTCGTGGAAGACGGAGAAGGAGTTTTGGGCCATCTACGAGTCCAAGTACGCGGTCATCCTGGAGAAGACGCGCGCCTACCTCGGTGAGCAGGCGAGGAGGCTGAGGGCCGAGGGCAAGGAACCCAGGGCAGCCATCTTCTTTTCGGCTGGCTTCGACGCCAGCGAGTGGGAGAGCGCGGGTATGCAGAGACATCAAGTCAACGTTCCCACGGAATTCTACGCCCGACTCAGCCAAGACGTTGTCAGGATTGCTAACGAGCAAGGCCTCCACGTCGGCGGCCGCGTCATCAGCGTTTTGGAAGGAGGCTACAGCGACAGAGCTTTGTTTTCTGGTGTATTTAGTCATCTGAGTGGCCTGGTCGGCGATCAGTCGACAGCATCACAAACGTCAGATACAGGCCGTGGCCTGGGTTACGAAATGGGCCAAAAGCTGGGCACCATTGCCGAGCCTGGGCCGGACCCCGTTGACTTGCAGCAGCCAGCCGGCCCTTCACTGCACCAATACGACCCCAGCTGGTGGTCCAGCCAGCACCTGGACTCTCTCGAGACCCTCGTCGCGCACCCCTCGTCGCCTCCCCGGAAGCCGCGAACCGGCACGCCGCCAACGTACTTCTCGCCCACGCAGGCGTCCTCGGCCAAGGTCATGGACCCCGTCAAGGTGCGGCGCAGCCTATCTGGGCTGTCGTCGACGATCCAGCGGCCGCGCGCCGCGTCGCCGGTCGCGCCGGACGTGCCGTGGACGGTCGCCGCACACGAGCTCAGCAAGATTCTGATCCCCGGAGACCGCCAGGTCGACAGCTGCCGCGCCGAGGACCTCAACGCGGAGGCGACGCGCGCCCGCCGCGACAAGCAGTCGATCCTACTAGGCATCCCGATCCCTCCGCCGACGCCCGCGCCGCAATCGCGGCCGACGTCGCGCATGGCGCTACGCGAGCGCAAGGCCAGGACGGCTGGCGAGGAGGCGGCCAAGTCGTCGCCGAGCAAGCGGTCCACGTCCCGCGGCGCCAGGGCCAAGTCGACCGAGGCCGAGCAGGCGGCGGCAGCGGCCCGGGGTCACCAGCGCAGACGCTCGCGACGCCTGAGCGAGTCGACGGTGTCGCAGAGCCCCGGCAAGGAGGACCCCGCCGTCCCGGTGCCGCCGCTGCCTGCCGAGTATGAGCAGCATAGCCGGCCGCCGACGTCGGGCAGCAGCAGCCGCGCCGGCTCTAGCATGAGCGGCCCGGTGGTGGCGCACGACCTGGCCGCGCGAAACCCGCAACCGCCGCCAGCATCGTCCGGCCTCAACATAAAGAAGACCCGACAGAGAGGAGCCGGCGCGGCGACGACGCCCAAGGAGCCGACGCCAAAGACACCACGTACCACGGCGCGCGCCCGCGCGGCGACGCCGTCGACTAAGGCCAAGACGGTGGCCGCGAAGCCGATACAGAGGAGTCAGCCGCCCGTCGCGGCGCCTGCATCGGAACCGCCCGTGCCTCCGGTGGATAAGATTACCACGGGCATGAGGAAGATCAAGATCAACCTGATTACGCAATCACAAAAGGCGGCCAACGCTCTGAAGAAGGACACTGTTGCGGCCCAGTCATCTGCGCCGCCGCCTCCGCTGGCGTATAGTCACGAGCCGGGCGTGACGCTTACAACGACTCCGCCTGTTGTCGAGACGTGTCCGCAGCTCGCACCGTCGTCCGACACGGACTTTTTGAGCCGCAGCACCGGCTCCGGTCTCTCGACGCCCCTGGACGAGCAGTCCTCCATCATCGACTCGCCGTCCCCTCTTGAGAGGCGGACGCCGCCTGCGCCGACGACCCCTGCGCCCGCCGCCGCCGAGTCGGTTGCGGCGGACGGCCTGTTCATCAGCTACCAGCCGGAGGGCCCGACGCCCGTGGCGGTGAAGCGCGAGGACTCGCTCAAGTGGCTGGAGCCCAACGTCGCGGCGACGCCCTCGCCGGGCATGCCGAGCCTGGTCAAGAAGAAGCAGGGCGGTGTGTCGCAGCTGTTTCAGTACACGGCGGCGGGGATTCCGTTTGCGCCGCGGCCGGGTAGCGGTGGTGGTGCTGCGGGAGAGCAGGGAAAGATGAAGGAGGAGGAGGAGGCCAAGTCAAAGGCGATGTGGGAGGTTCCGGAGACGCCACACAGGATATAGTTATGCGTGGTCGCTGCCGTGTAACGTCTTTGTCTTTTCTTCCTGGTGGTGCTGCAAGAAGCACATTTTCTTTGTTTTATTTTTTATATTGAGGGTGCAGGCAGTTCGTTTAGGATTATCATTGGCATCATCCTATTGTAAAACGGGGTAGACGCTTTCTGTTTATCGTTTCGGAAGGGGATTGATTCTCAGTACATTGGCCAGCCCTTGTCTTGTATCATTCTGTCTTTCATCATCGATTCCTTCATCGAGTACTTCTATATTCTAATGTATTATATACCCTATGCTTTGCAATGGAGTTGATTATCGTACCCCATGCCCCTTTGATAGTCTTGGTTATCGAGTCGTAGCGGGTTCATACTGGCCTTTACCTCTTTTCTACTTTTCTTCCGCAGGCTCGAACTGCGCGCGGATCTCGGCGAGCGGCACGGCGACGTCCTCGAGACGTGCCCGCTCGTGGCCGGGCTTCCAGGGATGCGGCCCCCGGCGAAAGGTCCAGACGTGCTCGACGCCGAGGTCCTGCAGGTAGCGGACGGCGGCGAGATAGTTGGTGGCGACGTGGGCGACGCCGTGGCTGTCGTCGGAGAGGGTGAACTTGCCGCCCAGCCTGAGCCATTCCTGTTCGTCCGTCAGCGACCGGGTCTCTCAGGTCGGACACACGGCAGCGTTCCGTAAGCCGTCAGACGTACCTCGGCGATGGCGCGGCACGGGTACGGCTCGGCCAGGCCCTTGCGCAGCGCCGCGCTGTTGCACTCCAGCCAGGCGCCCTGCTCCGCCGCCAGGCGCAAGTTGCGCACGATGCGCGCCCACACGCCCTCCCACCCCCTCGGGTCCCTGCCCGGTTCCGCGCTCAGCAGCCGGATCAGGTCAAAGTGGCCGACCACGCGCGGCCGCAGGGCTCGGAGCATCTCGTGCTGAAGGTCGTAGTAGTCCCCGTGCAGCGCCTCCTCGGTGCCGCCCGCCGGGTCCCCGGTGCGGGAGGACGCGGCGACGGCGGCGGCCATGCTGGCGGCGTCGTAGTCGATGGGCACGCCGTGGACGTGGTGCACGCTGCCGATGAAGTAGTCGAGGCAGGGCGCGGCGGCGAACAGCTCGGCGACGTGCGTGGCAAAGTTGGAGCGGATGAACTCGGCCTCGAAGCCGATGAGCACGTGGATCTGCGCGGCGTAGGCGGATTGTAGACGAAGAGCCTCGGCGAGGTAGGCCTCGTGACGGAGGGGCAAGGCGGCGAGGGCGGCGTCGGGGCCGTCGGCGAGCTGCGAGTGAGTGAGTTGTTTGTCGAGGGGAAGCTCATCGGGAGGGAGAGACGAGGGGGGGGAGGGGCGCTGCGTACCTCCTCAGGGTAGAGATCGCGCGCCTCGTAGCGCGGCATGTGCTCGGTGAGGCCTATCGTTTTGTAGCCGACGGAGATGGCGTGCTTGATGATGTCCTCGAGCTGGTCGACTGCGTGGCCGCAGAACTGGCCGGAGTGGGAGTGCATCGTGAACGCCATGGCTACTGAGGTTTGGTGGTTTGTTTTTGGTAGCTATGACGTGTATGAAGAAGGTTCAGCAAGGTGAGTCGCTTATCAAGGGCCTGTCTCAGCGTCCGTCCCAGAAAATGGGCGTTCTATGTGTATTTTCGAGACCCCAACAAAGGCGGTGAAGCTCCTGTCAAACAATGAAATCGACGCCTCTGAATCTCACGTGTCGGATTCTGGTGACGTGAATCGACCAACGAATGGGGGAGGAGGAGGAGGCTTTTTTTTTTTCTGCCGCAAGCCGGAGCGGGCGCCGTCGCGGGCGGGCGGGGCACCGGGCGGAGCGCGCACCGAGGGACCCGGAAGTTTGCAGGAAATTTAATATATTTTTGGGAAAGCCCATACGAGTTTGGGCCAATGAAAGGCGTGGGATAGCAGGTGGTGACAGAGTATGGGATGAATCTTGGGTTTAAGTTTTGCCGGCTGGCTGGTTAGGCTGTGCTGGGCTGGGGGAGGCGGGCTCTCTAGTGCGAGATATGACATGGAGGCTAATCGACGACGGCTGGTATTTATATATACAGCAAAAATAAAGAGGTTGAAAGGAAGCGCGGTAAGCGTACATAGAATGAATACTTTGTGTCATTCTCGCGGTTGGCTGTTGGTGGCGTCTGGATCGTCAGCGGTGTGAATGAGACACCATCAGCCACTGTAGGACATGGCTTCATTTCCTTGGCAAAGAAAAAGAAAGAAGCAAGAAGAAAAGAAGAAGGAAAATCATGCTAAAATCTCTTTTAAATTTCTTCGTCTTGGACTCCACCCAGGTCTTTGCGGGTGCAGGATCAAGGCGAGGAGGCCTACCGATTCCTCCAATTTGTCCTCTAGAGAGCAGCCAACATCGGATGTACTAGTTAGTTACAATGATTCTGCCCAGACCATGTGCCCATTTACCCAAACCTCAGACTACTCGTTGGAACCTCGATTAGAGACCGAAATTATCTTTTGAATAACCTCATAATGCAGCATGGCTTTCAACAACAGTCCAACGATAAAACTCCGCGGACCGGGCCCTAGGATTGGCGCCAACCCCCGGACGCTAATACCCGAACCTCGGTAGCGATCGGTGTACTTGATTCACTTGATTTCCTCCCACGCCATTGTTGATAAACAAATACATGAGCCAGACTTTCTCTTTTGGAACGGCTCCAAAGTTATCCTCCCCGCTCATCTCACCACACCGAATCAACTGACATCCCCCCTTCCTCTTCAATCTCGCTCTCACTGAAGGCCCCCATGGAGAGCGCCGTCGCCTGCCGCGCCGCCCCGGAGCACGGCCGCGACGTCTTCGTCAACAAGACGCCGCTTTACAAGCCGCTCTGGGGCCGGGGCGCCTTTGGCGGCGCCGTCCTCGCCCAGGTGCTCGTCGCCGCGCAGGCCACCGTGCCTGCCGGCTTCCTCGCCGACACCATGCACTGCCACTTCCTCCTCGCCGTGCGCCCCGACCAGCCGCTGCTCTCGCACGTCGAGCGGCTCCGCGACGGCGCCAGCATCGTCACGCGCTCCGTGCGGTGCCTGCAGGCCGGCAAGTGCGTCTTCTCCGCGGTGCTCAACTTTGGGCGCGTCGGAGGGCGCGGCCCCCGCACGCTGCGACACCAGCCCGAGTGTCCCGCGTCCGCCGCATCCGCGATCCGTAAAGGGCAGCCGGCGTCGACGAGCGGGGTGGACGCGGACTGCCCGTTTGAGTCGATCCGCGTCCCGGCCGCGGCCGGGGAGGCTGGCAAGCGTCCGGAGCAGCAGCGCATCGTGCAGCTGACCAGGGCCAAGATGGAACCCTCGGAAGGGGAGGCGGCGCTGCAGCAGGCGGCGCTGGCGTACATGACGGACAATTACTTCCTGGGCACGGTGCCACGCGTGCACAGGGCGCGGCGGTTCGGCAACGACGGGCTGGTGAGCGGCGTGGTGGCGCGGATGGACGGCGGCGAAGGCGAGCGCGAGGCGGCGAGGCGGCGCTTCGAGGTTCTGGCCGCGGAGGAGCAGGCGGACGCGGCGACTCGCGGGGAGTCGGAGACGGAGACGGCGCGCATTGAGATGATGGTGAGCCTGGATCATACCATCTTCTTCCACAACCAGGACGCGGTGAAGGCGCAGGACTGGCTGGTCATGGAGATGGAGACGCCGTGGGCCGGGCAGGACAGAGGGCTGGTGCTGGAGAGGATATGGACGGGGGATGGGGTCCTGGTGGCGACTTGTATACAGGAGGGTTTGTTCAGACTATCGCAGGATCCAGAGTCGCATCTGTAGTAGGCAGATGTAGAGTAGACATGTTCAGAGTAGACGTATTTATACGAGACAAGCTTAGAGTAGAGGGATGTGGGATGTATGAATTCATGTATAGATTTGCGCAGGCTACAATGTCACCTCACACAGAACAGCTCCCTACAGGCGCGCCTCAATCTTCTTCTGCGTGTCCGACAGCGCAAACTCGCTCCTCGCCTTGCGACTCCTCACCCTCGCCGCCTCCTCCTCCGTGAAGCCGCGCGCCTCCACCGCCGCGTTGTACCCGAGCCAGCTCCCCCGCGCCACCTCGTCGTCCCTCACCCTCCTCCCCTCCCCTCCGTCCGCGCGCTTATACACCGTCACCACCGCCGCACCCCCGAGCCCCAGGTTGTGCTGCAGCGCCACCCGCACGCCCCCGTCGAGGAGCCGCTCGCCCGCCCACCCGCGCAGCTGCCAGACCAGCTCCGCGCACTGCGCCAGCCCCGTCGCCCCCAGCGGGTGGCCCTTGGACACCAGCCCCCCCGACGGGTTGACCACCACGCGGCTCGCCGGCCCGTACGTGACGCCCCCGCGGCGGATCAGCTCGTGCGCGCGTCCCGGCGCGCTGAAGCCCAGGCCGTCGAGCAGGACGAGCGCGTTGGCGGAGAAGCAGTCGTGCAGCTCGCACACGCGCACCTCCTCGATGGAGGTCTGCGCTTCGCGCAGGGCGGCGGCGACGGCGCGGCGCGTCATGGCGTCTCCGACGAGCTGGATGGCGGAGCCGGAGAAGAGCGCGGGCGAGTCGGTGGTGAGCGCCTGGCCGGCCATGAGCACGGCTTGGGGGCGCAGGTGCGGGGCGCGGGTGTCGAGGAACCGCTGGGAGACGAGGACGGCGGCGGCGGCGCCGTCGCTGGTCGGGCTGCATTGGAGCTTGGTGAGGGGCGGGTAGATCATGGGCGAGTCGAGGATCTCCTGAAGAGAGTAGGCCTGGCGGAACTGCGCGTACGGGTTGCGCTGGGAGTGCTCGTGGCCGATGCGGGCGATTTCGGCAAAGTCTTCGGGTTTGGCGCCGTATCTAGCATAATGTCAGCCATGATGACTACACATTATGAGGATTTCGGAAATCTCACCTCTCCATGTACTCCCGGCCCGCGTTGCCAAAGTACTGCGCGTTCGGCGGCCCCGGCGCCTTGCCGTACGTGTCCTCCATCATCTTTCTACTCAGCTGCGTCGCCCGCGCCCGGTCCGGCCACTTATCCTTAATCGCCCCCGGCTCCATCTTCTCAAAGCCTATCACCAGCACGCAGTCCAGCGCGCCGGCCTGGATCATGGTGCGCGCCAGGTACAGCCCCGCGGAGCCCGTGGCGCAGGCGTTGCCCGTGTTGATGATGGGGATCCCCGTCATGCCGAACTGGTAAAAGACGCGCTGGCCGCAGGTCGAGTCGCCGTAGTTGAAGCAGGCGATGCCCGTCTGCACGTCGTCGTAGTTGATCTGCGCGTCGAGCATGGCCTTGATGCCGGCCTCGTAGCCGAGCTCGGGGTAGTCGCGGAGACCCCGCGGCTTGATGAACTGGGTCATGCCGACGCCGAGGACGTAGACGGGTGATTTTTCAGGAGGGGACATTATTGGGGGTTTATGGGGGTTTGTCTGTGATGGGAAGATTGATGGAAAAAATGAGGAGGGAGGGAGGGAGGGAGGGAGGTGTAAGTATAGATGCTGTATATACAGTGGATGTACAGTAGATGCCGAGGCGCCCCCCCCCCCCCCCCCCCCCCCCCCCCCCCCCG